ACATGTTCACATTAAAAATTAGGAACAAAAAGCAACAAGGCAAAGTTTGACATGTTGATGTGGTGCTAGAACTGTTTGTGGCAGCAAGTAGGGCAATGTGTGATTTTCAAAACAATGAAGCTTAAAATCAAGACAGAGAATGCTCATGAGTGAATCAAAACACAAATTCAGGTTAAAACAGAAGGCTATGAGACAATAGTGCTCAAGTTGCAAATGTCATGAACAGAATGCATAATGGTGTTCAGTTCTGATTTCATGCACATATGAGTCAAATAAGTCATGTACACAAGTCATATATGTGCAGATGAGTGTGTTCAAACATAAAATAGAACTCAAATTGTGCTGTAATGAAAATTGGCTGTCAAGTTGCAAAATTATGTTGTGATATGCATGAAGATACTCAAACTCAAATCCAAACATTTCTAGACTAAAGTAACCATATACACACCATACATACATGATATTAAGTAAGTTCAAACACAATTTGGGGCTAACATAGGACTGTTATGAAAAATGAGGGTTTGAGTTGCAAATTGGTCATTTTGATGCAAGACATGAAAAAGTGCAGTTCAACATTTTAAGCACTATTTACCAAGTTAACTCCACACGCATATTGAATACATGATGTTGGATGAATTTGAGCATAAATTTAACCATCTCTAGGCCTGAGATCACAGCTGGTATATTCATGGTAGAGTTTTGATACAAGACATAACATACTTCCAACATAATGAATTAAAAATGCTAAAACATGAAATTATGGTGTAAAGCAAAGATGGAGTGTCTACATACCTCTAGTAGACTGTGTTGAGTAGGTTAGAACACCAAGAAACCCAGAGGAACTTCCAAATAACACTAGCTTTGAAGCTTTCTTCTTTTTGAAGCAAGAATGCAACTCTTGAGGCAGTTGGAGAAATAAACTCCACCAATGATCTTTAACACTTTAGATAGTTGAGAAATGACATATGAGAGGTGTTTGATTGATTAAAACACCAAGAAAATGCATAGAACAAGTTTTGGCTGATTTTGTGGCTTTTGGTCAAAGTAACTTGGTATGGAAGTTGACTTTTTAAATGGTGAGGTTTTTGAATGGTTTAAGGTCTTGGACACCTTCTATATCATATTTATAGATTGTGTGGATGATTGTTGAGGTGTTTGAATGGGGGGAAATGAGTTTGGCAGCAAATGTACCAAGACAGATTTTTGAAGCTTTTGGCAATTTTGTGATTTTTGTGGTTTTGGAGTAAGGTGTGAAAATAGTGAGAGCTTTGTGTTTCTATGGTATTTAGAATCAATATTGTGTTTAAAATGAAGTGATGAGGGCTCCCTTTTATAGGCAAATGAAGAGAGGGGGCAGATTTGGAGATTTCTTCACATGAAAGAAAGGTTTTACACTTTTTGGATCAAACCTCCACAAAGGGTTTCCTTGGCTGATAGGTAAGCCCAATAGTCAAGAAAAATGATGAGTTTGAAGTGGCTAAATGCAGGCTAGAAGTTGTAGGCTTATGGCTGGTTCAGATTCACTTTTCCACCTTAGGCTTGCCTTATGATTTCAAATGCAAGTTGTAAAGCCACTTGCAAGCCCACTTGCAAGTTTGGCTAATTCCATCTCCTCTGAATTTTCTTCACATTTCTATGCTTCAAACCCTCTACATATCAGAAATAACAACATCCAAAGGCTGAGTTTGGTCAGATTTGAGGAAAGAATGATTTTTGAACATTTGACAATGTGGGACTAAAGTGTGAAATCACCAACTTGCCATAACCATAACTTTCAGCTCACAAATCCTTTTGAGATGTGCTAGTTCTTTTTAGAAAGCCCTCAAATAGCTCTAAAATATTCATGCTTTCATGAGTTTCAAATTCTCAAAGTAACTTGGCCAAAAAGTCTCTCAAAGTTGCTAAAAATGAACTTAAAAGTGAAATTTTTCTGTCTTTTTCCCTTCTCAAAATGAATTTGATCATAACTCCAAATCTATTCATTTTCTGATCATGGACCACTTAGGGACTTTTGTAGGGTTTGTCAAGAGCTTTCAAATGAGATTTCAACCAACTCAATTGGATGTGTGGTTAAGGAGTTATGGTTTAGCCCATTTCAAAACCCTAATTTCCCGATTTTTTGATTACTCCTTCATCCTTGATCCAATGGTCATGAAAATTGATAGGCAAGTGAAATATGATATAAGGAACATTTTTTATTCACACTTTGAAGTCCAATTCATTAAATTTGAAGAGTTGACGTTTTGGTCAACCGTACGATCGATCGGTGACTACCGAGTCGTCTGTTGACACTCTGGACCTCCTGAGACTTTGAAACTTCTTGAATGAACTTTATTAAGCTATATGAACTTCATGGATCATAATCCCACCATTGAAACACTTTCCGACATCAAAGTCAAACTACAGTTGACTTTTACTAGTCAAAAACCCTAATCGGGTGCCCTGAAATACACTGTTCTTGATTCTGGGGTAACAACCTCAAATTGGGTATTCAATTGACATCATATGATACCCTTGATCTTTTCCATGATTGAATTAGCCTAAAACTTTGATTGATCACAAACCCTGAAGCTTCGATTTGATTGTACAAAACCCTGATTCATCTGTAACTGGACAATGACAAACTTGCACTGGGTTAGGGTTAGATAATTCATGAGTATACTCCTAAAATGATAATGAGAATCTAAGGGGTCAAAATTTGGGGTATGACAACAAGGTTCAGATTTTTACTACCTATATCTCTGTATCTGTGTGGAACACTTGGGAGATGAATTTACCTTAGAGAGGTTTGGGTTTAAGTTTCTAACGTAGAACCAAAGAATATATAAAGAAGACATCTGAAGCTGCATAATTGCATAATTACCAAAAATGATCAAAATGTCTCTCAATGCAAGAGACATCTGAAGTTGTTACTGCAATGAGAGCACCATTACTCCTAGCTTCCATACATGCTTTTGTTATTATTTTAATAGTAAAATATTTCATTGTAAATGTCCTACAAGTATGAAATTCCATTGGATTCTAGTTATGTACTTTCATATTTTGCTCTCTGCATAATTAATCACAACTCACAGGTATAAAACAGTAACACTACTACTAATGTCTTATAGTGGTTTTAATGCAGAAAGTTAGTAGTGAAAATCGAGAAAGAGCGTCAAATCCTCAACATCCCTATAGAAAGTCACGTTTAGGGTGTGCTTGTCTTGAAGCTGATATGGTAAGTATGTGTATAAAACTAGTGTACAAGATTATAAATTATTTTTTTAATTGCTATGTTAATTTGTCAAAATGTATATACAGGTAGAAGATTCGGGAGAAGATGATATAAATCATAGTCAAGTGTGGAAGGCTGCCCGTGTCAATAAGAATGGGGTGATTGATAATGAGAATGTTCAAAGAGTTGCGGATCAATGTGTAAGTCGAATGTTAATATTTTGGATCAATGAAAATATTTTGGATCTCGGTTAATCTTAATGAAAGTGTTCAAATTGATTTTATTGTAACAAGTCTTTTATACTTATCGATGTCAAGAGAAGTTAACAGAAGCTCTAACTGAAGAAGAGAGACAAGACCTTGGTCCTACGGACATATTATTCGAGGCTCTAAATCTCCCAAACTACTCTGGGCGTATTAGGAGTTACGGTTTTGGGGTATGTTCTAGGGACATATTACCACACCAAATTCGCCCCACACAAATGGACTTTCAAAAATTGTATGGCTTTTACAACACACTCAAAAGTAGATTGGAGGTGCTAGAGAGAGAGAGAAGCTGGAGATGATAAGTTGGATAGAGAGAAGTAGAGAGGCAAAAAACTGAAGAAGTGGCCGAGAAAGAACAACCTGAAAAAGTGGCACAGACCTTGCAACAACTTGAAGAAGTGGCAGAGAGGCAACAACCTGAACAAGTGTCAAAGAGCTTGCAACAAACTGAAAAAGGGACAGAGAGGTAAGAGTTAAGTGATAAAGGTTCTTGCAACCCTGTATCATTTGGTAATACTCCCGAGGTAATTGGCTTCTTTAAATAATTTGTATCATTTGGTAATACTCCCGTAATGTGGCACTTGTTTGTTTGTATAAAGTTCAATTTGTGGATTTTATGTTGCGGCTACTTGAAGGTTGCTTTATTGTGTTTGACAATCTCATATATAGAGAGGGATGGAAGGCTTTATTCTTTTGATGTATCTTTTATGCTCTGGCTTCTGAAGAGGTTTTTTATTTTTATCATTTTTGCCAAGAAGATGCCTCATTTTCTTGCCCTGTATTATTTTTCTTTCTAAAGATTAAATTCTTTTGTTCAAAGTGAATTTTGGTGTTACAGTAATTTTCTGAGATTGGTTATTTCAGCTGTTAAAATGTTTATATTTCTGCTATTTCATATTGACCGTGATTGGTTATTTCAATAATTTTGGTGTTGTCATCCTGTTCATATTTTAGAGCATATGTTTGTAGGTATAATTTGTATTATAAGCTAGCATAGATAGGTTCTCTGGTGTGTAATGAAAACAAAGTGAGGCCTGTGAGGAGGAGTGTTATTAATTTTTTTAGTATAAAACATGCGCAAAATGCATAAATTCAAAGCAGTTCATATATGTTTGTTTTTTAAATAATGATATTAGTGTTTTTATTCGTTTCTCATTTTGTTTAGGGTCTCTTTCCTGTTAATATATATTTATCATCCCCGAGTCGGTGTTTGGTTGCTCGTGGCAAACTATATAACACCAAAGGTAACACAGTACACGACATGACGTTACCACCTGGATATGTCAAGGTTAATATCGAAGTTGCTATTGTGCCAAATGCTCAATTTCCTATATCTATTGAAGGTGGTGATGTATCGATGGTTTGTCAGGCAATATGAACAATTGTGCCATGGCCAATGAAACTTCTTGAAATTGTTGCTGAATGTGAAAAGGTAAATTACTTATTATTAACTTGCTTGATCGTTATTTGTTTTATTATCTGATCACTAACCTTAATTAATAAAACTTTTTAGAATCCTGATGAATCCCAAAACAAAGTTAAGAACACCCAACGAAGTGTTGATTCTGTTTCGTCACCTAACAAAAGCAACAAAAAAATTCCAAATTGAAGAGTCTCCTAGAGTTGGCGGTTCAACCAATCTTGTAAATTTACCTTTCCTTGATATGGATGTGAAAAAGATGATGAGGGTTGGATCGTTAATTCAAATAAAAATGGAGGAAATTATATTTGGTGAGGAGTTTTTAGAGCATCTACGTGTAGAGAGTATAAAAGAGATTCTTGATCATAATTGGTTAAGTGCCTCTATTATCATTGTATTTTCCAGGTACCTCTATTATTACAAATTTCCTCTAATCTGACAAATATATTAATATTTACATTGTTGACAAATATATTAATACCAATTATTGTTGTTCATTTCTAGGTATTTTTATGACAAGTTTATTAGTCCAAATGGATTAATAAATAAGTTCTCCTTCATATCCCCACATGTATCACGAGAGGATAATCTAGGAAATGCTATAGCAAAAATACTTCTGAAAGATGAGGAGTACTTCAAGGATAAGATGATTCTTGCACCTTGCAATCTAGGGTGAGATTTCTATTCAAAATGTTATTAAATTTACGAGAAAGGTCAATCCTTGTTTGCTATAGTAACTGTAAACATTGAAGTGGTTAGTATAACAAGTAAGGTGCGTACATGAACACAATTAGTATACCAAATCATAGTTCCCCTCCAAATAATACTTGTTATCAATCTAAGGATAATAATTACTCATTATTTTCTTTGCAGGAAACATTGGGTATTACTTGTCATCAATCTCGATGCTGAGGTGATATATTACATGAATCCGTTGAATGGTGAGCCAACTAAACATCAAGATTTAAAAACCAAGTTTGAGAAGTATAGACTCTTTTAATTTAACATTTATATAAGTATTCTTAGTTATAATAATTACTCATTTGAAGTTAATTTCATTTTGTTAGTGCATTGCAAATTTATCGTGCTAATAGTAACTCTAAAGTGTCTAAAGTCTCCAAGTCAAAGAAAATTTCATGGTCAAAAATTCAGATATGTCCAAATTAATGTTATTTTTAAACAATTATGTAGAGTAAAAGTAATATATGTAGATGTTTTTTTGCAGTGTCCCCGCAAATTAATAGCATTGACTGTGGATATTTTGTAATGCGATTTATGAAAAAGGTCAACATGGAAAATGAAATTATGATCCCCATGAATGTATGTGATTTTAATTGTTATTAATTTGTAAATTAATGTAATTTAGTTCTAATACAATTTTTAATGCTTTTATATTTGAAGTACTTTCCTGACTACAAATGTCGTACCTACTCTAAGGATAAGTTAACTGAGGTCAAAGAGGATTAGGCTACCTATATAGTGTCGCTTGCGCGAAAATAAGGTGCCGACACAACAGAAGAGTCGCCACCTTTTGTTATTTATCCCTCAGAGCGGGAAAGGAAACGATCAGAAAAACCTGACAAAAAAAGGCTAAGACAAGGTCGTCGCAACCATTGTCTGGATTCGGGAGTCGGTTACGCGAGGGGAAGGTATTAGCACCCCTCACGTCCGTCGTACTCGACGGGATCATCGCTTGTTGTGTTTACTTGGACGAGTTGGTTTTATTCTATCTACCTATCAAGGCTGGCTGAAACAGAAAATAAAAATGACTCGGCAAAGCGTCGCGCTTTATGCCTACGTATTCTCATCAGAGAATGAGAAATCAGAGTCAACGTAGTTCGACCTACGACGGGTTATGGGGGAAGGTAGGTCGCCAAGACATCGCCATCTTGTGCCTACGTACTCTCAACAGGTATGAGAGATCAGAGCTCACGTAGTTCGGGAAACTACGGTTTATTTCCTGTCTTTTACGAAAGAAGTGTTTTTTATTGTGTTTGCGATTTCAATCGCACTAGAGACTATGACCTGAGAGTGAATGCATCGCATGTCACCCAAAGGGTACCATACTAAACATCTAGACTGTGGAAAAGAAACTCTCCCACAATCCTTTCTCAGATAGCTTAAGGCTCGTAACGTACGAAAGAAATCATTCCTGATTATTGTATCTTAAACTATTTTGAGATGAGAAGAGAACAGACCCAACTAGGAGGGAGACTATCAAGTCCTACTGTTGTCATGCCATGGATTCATCCTATGGTTGAGGTTTGAACAGGGAACTCCTAGAAGTTGTCATGCATAGGTTTCAACCTAAAGTTCTATCATCAATTCCTTAACAAAGGAAATGAGAGTCCTAAGGGATCATGTCAATGATACACCAAAACAGACAAAGCATCAGCTTAACAGTAAAATGCATGCAATGCAAGTGAGGGAGGAAATGTGTGTGGGGCTTCAGCCTCCACAAGCTCATCTCAACCTCAAGCCAGAATGGATAACAGTAATCATACTGAAATATAAAACAACATCATGCTATCAAGCAATAACAGTAAACTGCAATCATACAGATAAAATGAAATGAAATGCCATCAGACAAACAGACCACATGGGCAAGGGAGCTGGGCTCTACCGAATACCCGCAAGCAAAGCCACACAGTAACAATACAAGCAGAGGGAGCAACTCAACCTCTAGTGCAATCATGCTCCTAGATTCTGCCTATTTTAGATATGGACTTATTCTAATGCATCAAACAAGTCAAACAAAACACATCAATACAGAAAAGAAAAAGAGGAGAAAGCAGATCAACTCCTCTCTCAACTTCAAGCTTCAGCTTTCCAGAATACTCCAGTCTTCAGACTTCAATCACTCTTGACAAATATCAATTTTCTTTCCCAGGTTTCAACCCTACAACATAAGCTTCAGCTTCTTGATCAGCTCCACCTTCAGGCTTCACCTAATCTTCAGGGATCTTCAAGTGTCAACTTGCTCTGGTTGCTCTTCAAGCTTCAGCTGGAATGGCAATACTCAAGGATTCATCCTCTTCTACACTCTTCATTGAAGTCTTCATCTTCAAACTCAAGCTCAACATCTCTCAAGACAATCAAACCAGATGAAATCACTTACTGGATAAGCTGGGGATATTGAACTGCTTATTTGACCACCAAAGGTGACCTATAAGGGTTCAACATCAAAGGAATGGTTCCCTCAAAAGTTCTACTTCCTAGGTACATCACTTATCCCTCCAAAGGAGAGAGGTGTATACCATGTAAGGACTTTGAATCATAGGGAGGAATGGAGGTGAATGATACCATCCATGTTTAAGAAAGAAGTTATCTAAGTCTAAACTCTTCTTAATCCCTAACCCTAAAACAACAACAAGAGAAATAAGATCAAGCTCTCAAGCTCCTCAATCCATCTTAAAGTCTTCTACTATACTCCTCAATGCTCCTTAGAACAATACCAAGCTCTCCAAGCCCACAAAGCAAAGCAAACAACAATACAAGCCCACAAGGGCAACACAAACAATCATTCACAACAAAAATCAACTAAAAATAGCATACTATTATATTAAATCCTAATATAATTTCTAGGGGATCCTACATACCTACCCTTAATACCCATATATGTCCCATAGTCTATTTTGTCATAAAAACCCAAAATTCTAATGTTGTTATGGACCTATGTTAAAGTTTGACCTAATTCTACACAACCTGATGTCATCTAATCAAAACTATCCTAAAAATCATCACAAAATTATGGAATAAATCCAGGGGAAAGCTACAACTTATATATAATTATCCTAAAAAGAATGACCTAAAAATGCTAAGGGAACTACCTAAACTAAATTCTACAAATTCATATATCAACACAAAAGAAATAAAATGCAATAAAAGTAAAAAATATACAAAAAATATCAAAATGCATGATATGGAAAATGTTTTTATTTTATATTTTTCTTGACAAAAATATGAAGTGAGAGAAAAAACTCCCATTAAAAAATCATTAATTTTCAATTTAATATGAATTTTCAAAGTTGGAAAGAAAATGGAGAAAAATAAAATGAAACCATGAGAATGGGGTGCAATCAGTAAACAAATATAATGCAATTCACGCTTAGGCCCAGAATGGGGGGTTACAAATAGCAATGCGCCTGGGCCCAATATTAAATCAGAAAAACAATTGGAAAACATAAAGAAAATAAAAAAGAAGCGGTGAGAATAGCAAGGAATTATAGTTCAAAATGGATTGGGCCTCACACGTGGGGTGTGGATAGTCATGATTCCCTAAGCCCAGAATTCCCTTTTAATGAAACGCGGCGTTTCATTAGGGTTCAGACTTCCCTCCAAAATGAGATTAAACCTCGTCCGTTGGATCTGGCCAAAGTCAAGAGTCAGCGCTTGCATCTCACGGCTGGGACATCATCATCAACCTTGATCTAGGGTTTGCCATGAAACTCCATGAAAACAGATTTCATGCCACCATCTTCCACCAACTCGTGTTACCTCAAATCAGCATCAAATTCAACCATTCAAAACCCTAAATTGCTTAATTTTCCATGCTGAACACGATCATGGCCTTGGATTAAACTGAAATGGTCTCTATCATCAAACCCGATGGTGAATCCATATTAATCTCAAAATATGATCAATCCTCAACTTCAACCAATCTTAGATTTCTTTATACTAACATGATCACCACATTGCCCTAATCAAAACCAGTTATTAACCTTGCATTATCACTCACTATATCACAAGTTCTTGCTCCATAAAGAAATGGTGTCCATAACTGAAACTTCATCAAATGATCCTAAACTCTTCAGAATTCATCACCTAGGTGTCTCTAGCCATTCTACACTAATGATTCAACCTAACCATGCCTAAATAATGATGTAGGGAAGAATTTGCAAACCTGGTTTCTTGATATGGCAGATGATGAAATCCTTCCCTTCAAGGCTTGAAACTCTTCAAGAATAATCCTTGGATGATGAAACTTCTACTGTTTGCAAAAAAAGTGGAGGAAGAATGTTTGCACTTCAAGATCCGATGATGAATGGCTTCTTGCAAATCCAATGGGAACACCTTCAATCTTCCATCAATGGAGCTTCAATTCAGTATGCACACACTCAGAGAGATCTATGGAAAGTGTTTGTGAAGAAAAAAGGGATGGGAATGAAGAAGAATGAAGAAATTGATCTTGACTTGCAATGGAAGAATTTGGATCTCACTCTCTCTTCTCTACACCAATTCACACCAACCATGCATTTGAGCAAGTTACACTTGTTATATAGAGTGGTTTAGAATCATCTAGAACCCTCTAGGATCATCTAATGAGAAATTGAACTTTTCATGTCATGGTATTTTGATTTCTCATTCTCCTTACATGCTATCTCATGCCAAGCTCCTTGTAACTTCCCATTCGGATTTGAATTTATCCCCACATGAGATTTAGGATGAGTTACAATGCATAACCACCTTGCTTGTTGAGTTCTTTTGAGTTTTGCCTTGGTACCTTAATATGCAAGTAAGCCAATTCCAAGGCAGCCCTATGATCCAAGCCTCAAATCAAAATTATGGTTGAACCATTGTTCTTAGAATGTCATTTGGAGTCAAAATGAGCTATTACATGACATGGTTTGGATTTATAGCTTGTGATTTCCAATTTTCAATTTCAACTTAATTAACTTATGCCTCCATTTTAGGCCATTTTTATCACTTTTTGATATGAGCCTTTCGAACATCTCATGACCTCCCTACTAGCCTTAAAACATCATTCTAAGCAAGTTTTATGTTGAATATTTTTCCATTTGAAGCTTGGAAATAGGAGATATGGCCTTAAGCTTGAAATGACCTATAACCTCCAAATGACCTTCAAAGCCATAAGTTGAGTTCTACAAATCCTATCAAGGACTTCTAGTACTCTATAGAAATCTAAGAAGATTACCTTCAACATTCATGTTGACCAAGAATCCATAGGAATCATCCTACTAGGGCAAAAGTTGGATGCAAGTTGGGTGACTTTCAAGGACCCAGATTCACATACCTCAGATGACCTGTAATTTGTCAAAGCCATAACTTGAGCTCTACAAATACTATCAAGGACTTCTAGTACTCAAATTAAAGCTAAGAACAAGCTCTACAACATTCATGTTGTGGGGAAGATGAGATGACAATCACATCTTGAGCTAAACTGCCTTGAAGATTGGGATCAAACTAGGGGATTTTACACTGTCAATCCTTTGAAACCCTAGCTTAAAACCTCTCAAACTCCTCAATCATGATGAGTTGGTCTAGGAATCATCCTTATAGCATCTCAATGCATCATTCCATGATCACATGGCCCTTGGATTAGGTCTAAACCCTCTCCAAATCATCAGTTGACCTAGGGTTGACCCAGTCAAACCCTAATTCCACCACTCATGGCTGAATCTTCTGAATTCTTGTACAATGACCTCTCTAGGCTTCATGATGGCTTT